CCTCTTCCCATTAGGGCTGGAAGAGCCTCAGCCACTGCTCCCCTGGAGACAGCTTCCCTACATACCACGAATATAGTACAATCACGGGGTATTGATTGCTTCCCTAGTAAGGAAGGATTAACCCCGCAGTGTGCTGAACCAAACTCTGCCCTACTCGCCTCCTCAATTCTCGACTACACTCTGCTGCACAGTGAGGAGTAGGGGAAATACAAATAAGGCAAAAGATTAGTATAATGGCAAACTAGTTCCGCAGTTTAGCGATAGTTACGATGAACTTTCCCCATGATCCTAATTAGCCACTTACCTCACAAATGGGGAAGGCTCTGTTGCCGAAAATTCAAAACGAAATACCCCCGCGGCAGGAGTGAAAGAATCACATACACAGCCCCGGTGCCTAACGTCACTGCACCTCCTGCCCTGCCAAGTAATTGAACTCACACCCAAAAACAAAAAATTAGAAAAACAATATAATTGTATTTAAAAGATCTTGCACTTTCTGTTTAGCCTCATCTAAAAATAATATACAAGGTGATAACTCTTTAGCCATGTCAACAAGATGTGTTTTAATTGCCTTTTCAACCGGAGGTCGCAGGAAACCTGCCAGTAGCATGTCCTCTTTGCCTATTACAAACTACACCTGTGACTCCTTTTTTTTTTTTTTTTTTTTTTTGAAGTCCAGGGTGTTGTAGAGGTCGGTTTCTGGACCCAGGRCAGGTACCTATCTACAGTCAGCAACTAATATATGGGACCCAGACCATCCTATCTTGGAGGATCCCCCTCAGACAGCCCCTACCACAGGTTCCCCAACGATTTCCTCCACCAGAGTCTGTCTTCTAACACCCTTCCTACCGGGATTCCTTAAGACAATCCCCTTCTGTAGGTTCCCCACCGATATCCTCCAGCGGAGCTGGTCCCAAGCCAACCCTCCCCCCAAACGGGACCCCATCCCACCTCAGGTCCTTGCCCCCCCAAAGCAGAGCCTAAGGTAACCAACATACATGAGCAGTCTAATCACAAACCCGTACCTGCATCCTCAATAGACTGCTAACTGTATCAGGCAAACCCCTCGTAGGCCAGAACCCAACATACAACACCATGGGCAGTCCCCTGGGTGGTGCGCAGGCAGTGTCTGTAATAGCTTACCATGTGTCAGCCCAAGGGGTGTGTGTCCAGCCGTGCGTCATTCTAACGCCCTGCTGGTGTGCATGCGTCTGCGGATTTGAACTCCAACCTCATACCACAATGCGCATTTCCAACCGGTGCTCTAACCACTGAGCTACATCAACTGGACTACTACTGTGACTCAGACGTAGTTGCCCCTTTTTTTTTTTTTTTTTTTTTTTTAACGCAGGCTCCGATCTATTCGTGGGGAGCATTACGTGCTGAGAGCCGGGCTCAGCATCCCTAATGAAGTACATACATAGATGTTTGAGATGTTTGAAAGAAAGAACATGAGCATGGGGCAATCAGAGGAAAACCACACTGCTGGAAACCAGGTCTGGCGTCCCATGCCTTTGACTATATAAAACTTGATGTAGCTCAGTGGTTAGAGCACCGGTTGGAAATGCGCATTGTGGTATGCGGTTGCGGGCTCAAAACTCCGCAGTCTTGCACATGGACACCGGCAGGGCATTAGAATGACGCACGGCTGGACACCCCCCCCCTTGGGATGACGCAGGTAAGCTATTACAGACACTGCCTGCGCACCACCCAAGGGGTAGTCCATGGTCATTGTATGTGGGGACTGGGTGATGGTGGATATCCTTTTTTTTTTTTTTTTTGGGGGGGGGGGGGGKGGWAMAATTAGCTCCAATCTATTCGTGGGGAACAATTTGCTCCAATCTATTCGTGGGGAGCAACACGTGCTGGAAACTGGGTCCAGCGTCCCACATGAATTATTACACAACACATGAGGTGCCGGCCCTGCCGGGGCCATTACCCGGCTTCGGCTAAGAATCTGTTTTTGATGAAGAACTAAAAAATTGAATACTATGGGCTTCGGCTAAGAATCGTTTTTTGATGAAGAACTGAAAAATTGAATACTATGCTATATCAGCCATTCCAGCTTCCTAAACATAGAGCAACTCCTAGCCCTCCCTATACCGGGACATTACTACTCAAAGACAGTACTGACCAGACCAACATCATCCATAGCTGACCTCTTCTCACCACCAAGACTATCCCCGACCCCATAGGGTGTCAAGGCGGTCCCCCACAATTCGCCACTGGCTTGGGTATCCTGATGTTCTTGGTCTATGGGTTTGTCATGAGACTGCAGGGTGGTTTGCACAGTCCGGTTTACTCCAGCCCAGCAGAGCACAGCTACAGATTATTTCACAGTGTAGGTCAATAGGTTAGGTCACTTGCACGATTCACATAAGGTCCTGTGTTCGATACCAGCCTGTAACTTAGGGCTGGTCATCCTCCTAGTACGTAGTCAAAGGATTGAGGCTGGCGTAGCAGTTCCTTAGTACGGATGTCGGGAGTGTCAGGAGATACTGCACTTCACCGCGGGGCAGGAACGGGCTCCAGGGACATACAAGGGAACGGAGGATATGCTGCTCTCAGATTACCATACAACACAGGGTTAATAAATCATCCAGGGTCAATAGATACAGTCCACGATTCACGATTAAGGGTGGGCTATCCTCCTAGTACGTAGCTTAGAGTTGAGGCTGACATAGCAGTCCTTAGTACGGGATGTCGGGGGTGTCAGGAGATACTGCGCCTTGCTGCGGGGCCGGAACAGGCTCTAGGGATATACGAGGGAACGGTGTGACTAACCATTTTCTGTAATCACGCGACTTTCTGCGCGAAGCTGCTTTGGGGGAACGGGACGAATTAGTCGGGTGAAGTACGTGGGGATGGGTCGACTGGGCAAGTTGCATGGATGCCCTCGCTTCTTTTTCGTTTTCCTTTTCGATTTTGTTGGGCCAGTATGGGGAAAAGTCCCACGTAGGCAGTTAGGAGACCGCGCCTTCGTGAGCGCAAGAAATAAATTGTTGCCATAGCTTCCTCCTTGTTCTGCTGGGGCTAAGGGGAACGGGAATTTTTGGCGCGACGAACGCGCGGGAATGTCGTTTTCTTTTTCGAAATTTTCTTTCAACTGATGTCGAGCCCCTGTGGGCTCTCGGAATTGTTAATTTCCTTTTCGCTTTTCGAAACTTTTGTTTCGTCGGAATTTTCTCTGCAATTTGGGTTTAGATAGGAATTTAGGAACCTTGAGATTTTACTGCGTTGCCCTTCTTGATTAGCGCGCACCTTGCCGCGGCGGGAGCAGAGCTCTGACTAAGTTGCGCCCTTAATCTTATGTGTAACTGTATCTTTTGGCGGACGCAACTGTAACTGTATCTCTCTCTTCTTGACTCTCTCAACTTTCTTCTCGCCTGCTTCCTTACTGCTGTGCATGCATCTTCCCCCATTCTGATAGGCCGAAGCGTTACATGCCCAAATCGATGCGTGGAGAATGGCTACGACCCCCACGCCGCGGCCTGACCATGCAAAACGTAGGCACTTCCCTTCTCTCCTCCTTCCTTCTGTCTTGGGCATGATCCCGGGTTTCTCGCGCGAGCATGCATGCTATAAATTTCGCAAGCGCGACTAATTCACTCTCTCTGGATTTGAAAGGTTAGCTCGGTCAGTGAGGATCAGCTAACAAGCAAGTTGGAAGGTGAGTAGAAGTGAGTCGGGCGATCCGACGGGTTGGTGCCAAGTAAGCGGGGTTGACGTGCGGGCCACGACGGACTATGGCGCACGGGCGAACCTGGCGTGCGTGCTTGGACTAAGCGGGGTGACGACTCGGTGTTGGTGCGAGACGACGGACTGTCCGCATCGGAGGTGACGTGGTGCAGAGAGAAAGAGAGAGAGTGAGGAACAGACTAGTGTGGGATCGTGACCTTTCTTTTC